GAAGGATCGCTGGAGCCCAGCAGGCGAGGCTGCGGTGGCCGGGAGCGCCACTGCACTCCAGTCTGGGTGACTGAGTGAGACTCCAACTCAAAAAAAAAAAGAATTTATTTTCTAAAATAGAAACAAATGATCAGTCTTCAGGGTGATGAGTATCTACTCTTGACCTCTGCTTAACTGCTTCTGGGTTTGTTTCCAAATGCAAAGCCTCCAGGGAAACATTCTGTGGTGCTGCTAAAAAGAATGTTGTCTGTGGCAAATAAACACTTATCACTGAAAATAAAATGAAAACGTAATTAGCATGCAAAGAAAACATTAGTACTGGCCATGCCTGTAATCCCAGCACTTTGGGAAACTGAGGTTGAGGATCTCGAAGCCAGGAGTTCAGTATCAGCCTAGATAACACAGTGAGACCCCATCTCTACATTAAAAAACAAAAAATTAGCCAGGCCAGGCACAGTGGCTCATGCCTGTAATCCCAGCAATTTGGGAGGTGGAGGCAGAGGATTGCCTGAGACCAGGGATTTGAGACCACCCTGGGCAAGACCTCGTCTCTATAATAAATCAAAAAATTAGCTAGGTGTAGTGGCACACACCTGTGGTTCCAGCTACTTGCAAGGCTGAGGTGGAAGTATCACCTGAGCTCAGTAGGCAGAGGCTGTGTTAGCCGTGAACATATCACTGTACTCTAGCCTGGGCAAGAGTGAGGCAACAACTAAAAAAAATAAAATAAAATAAATAGTAAAATTAGGTTCTACGAACCACGAACACTCTGAAAAATATTTGAATTGACTCAAATTTACCTTAAAATTGTTCTGTTAACAGTGAAAGGGATACTATTATGACAGAATACATGAGAAAAATCATGTATTCCTTCTTGTTTTGTAAATGATTGTAACTAACCCTTCAATTGCATTTACCTTGGGATACCTTACTGCATATCTGTCATCCTACATTACAAACTGTCTCAAGGTAGGGACATCCTAAGCACGCCACAGAAGGCAAGAAGCCTGCTGGTGTTCTCAGAAATCAACAGAATGACAATCTGAATGAAGCACATTTAATAGGTTCCCTGGACCCCTACCTTCTCGGACTAAGTCCTCTGCAGTGGTAACTCCATGTTCTATGAGCTTCTGGCAGTCATCTAGTGGTTTAATGGTCTCCTGTTCAATGGTGTCCACTTCTTGCAAAAGGGTCACCAATCGCTCATCCAGGAGCTTCCCAAGGGTTCCCTTTAAATCATTAAAATGCTGTTTGAGAACATCCCTCGTCTGTGATGCACTCTCTTTGATCTGAAAAGAAGTAAATAAAAACTCAAAATCAGAATCTCTAGAAAAGGCTTACTTATAGGCATTATTCATAGTAATCTAAAGGTACCATATGGCCATCATCTTCCATTAATTAAAAAATGTATACACTGAAATTATATGTATTTGTGTACAGTATGTTCTGATAAACATATACATAGTGAGCTGATTATTACAGTCAAGCTAATCATCATGTCCATCTTTTCACAGGGTTACCTGTGTGTATCAAAAACACTTAAGACCTTTCCTGACCAGGCTCAGTGGCTCAGTCTGTAATCCCAGCACCTTGGGAGGCCAAGGCAAGCGGATTGCCTGAGCCCACGGATTCAAGACCAGCCTGGACAACTTGGTGAGACCTCATCTCTACAATAAATTTTTAAAAATTAGCTGGGTGTGGTAGTGTGCACCTGTAGTTCCAGCTGCTTGGAAGGTTGAGGCAGAAGGATAGCCGGAGCCCAGCAGGTTGATGCTGGGGTGGCTGTGAGCATGCCACTGCCCTCCAGCCTAGGAAACAGAGTGAGACTCCAACTCCCCAAAATAAAGATCTTTCTTCACACATTTCAAGTATACAATATAGTATTATTAACTATAGTCCCCATCCTGTACATTCGATCTCTAGAATTTATTCATCCTACATAACTGAAACTGTGTACCCTATGATCAACACCTCTCCATTCCCTGACCCCATCCCTGGTAAGTACCTTCCTACTCACTGCTTCTATGAATCTAACTTCTTTAGGTTCCACATATAAGTAGAGATCATGCGGTATTTTTCTTTGGGTGCCTAGCTTATTTCACTTAGCATAATGTCCTCCAGGTTCATCCACACTATGGCAAATGGCAAGATTTCTTTTGTTTTTAAAACTGAATAATATTCCATTGTATCCATTCACTAGTAAACTAAGTGTGGTTCACATGCACAAACTGGCAGAATTGCAAAGAATTGGCCTTTAGTTCAGACAGAATAGGCTCAAATCCTGGCTCCATCATTCACAAAATATGTCAATTTGGTTAAGTGAATTAAGTACTCCATGTACTCAATTTCCTTATTTGTCCAGTGAGTATAATAATGGTTACTTCATGGAGTTGCTGTGAGGAATAATTAAAATCTAGCAAGGCGGAGCACATCTATAATCCCAGCTATTTGGGAGGCTGTTGTGGGAAGAGTTTGAGTCAAGTTAGGGCAAATATAGTAAGACCTCGTCAATAAAATATATACATATATTTATATATATTTAATCTATGTACTTCACTAGGTAAAATAACTGGCACATTTTTGTTCTAAATAAATAAATGTTAAAAATTGTTGTTGTTATTATCTGAACAAAGTAGTTCTCAGCAATAGCACATTTCAATACAAAAATAGTTTTAATTACAAGGGTATTAAAATTCATTTTATTGAAAAGAAGCTGCCTGAGCCCATGGGTTCAAGACCAGCCTGGGCAAGTTGGTAAGACCTCATCTCTACAATAAATCAAAAAATAGCCGGATTCGGTGGCTCAGTCTGTAATCCCGCACTTTGGGAGGCTGAGGTGAGCGGATTGCCTGAGTCCGCGGGTTCAAGACCCACCTGGGCAACTTGGCAAGACCTCATCTCTACAATAAAT